CCCCGGGGGGTATAGCAGGATCAATGTGAGAGCAGTAAACGGCACATAGATTCTTGCAGGGGAGGAGAAGTTGAAGTCTATTTCCACCGAAAGGAGCTCCCAAAGGCCGGCAGAAGCACAACTGTAAGGGCCGCACATGGAAAATCCGTTACTAACCACGGTGCACATGTCCTTGGGACAGGTACAAACGGGATGGGGAACAGGGAGGTCGACAAAAGGCTGCACCCATGGCATGGCTGGGCAGCGATGGGGAGCAAGGTCCTCGTGAGCCAGGCCGCCAAGGGAGGCAGGTAGCAATTCCAAGAGGGGAGACACTGAGGGCAGATTTAGTTCTGTCAAGTTCTTGAATTTTGATGTACATACAGTGGGCACTTAGAGCGCGTTGTGGTTTGTGTCTGGGTGTCCCCCCAAAGCCTCATGCGGTGATGGGGCAGGCTTTTAGAGTTTGACTGTTTTTTTTTTTTCCCCCGCAGTACCAGAGATCGAACTCACGACCTTGCGCTTGCTGGGCAGGTACTGTGCCGCTGAGCTAAATCCCCAGCCCCTTAGAGTTTGATTGATTATGGGTATGAGAGCTACAACCGCCCTGGGGTAGATAGTGTGCATATGTAAGAGAGAGGAAGAGGCTGCTTGCCGCCATTCCTCCCTTTTGTGCTTGTTGCTTTTGCTGTGTTCTGCCGCCATGAGCTGTAGCCCTCTGCCGTGTGCCACTCTGCCTTGTAACCTGCCAAGTATGGACTGAAACCTCCACAAACTATAAGTGAAATAAACCTTTCCTTCCTTCATTTTGGGCATCAAGTATTTTGTCCCAGCAACGAGAGAAAAGTAACCAAGACAGAGCGTAAGGCTAATTCAGCGGATTTGTCCTCTTTTATACAATACGAAAGCCGTGCTGTAAACCCTAATTAGGCTGGAGGACATTTGTATCACTTAAAACTAGGTAGTCAGTAGGCTGCCTCGAATGGCAGGGAAGTCAAGGCGCTGAGGTGAGCTATAGGCCTGGAAGTGAACAGCGGAGGCCCGGATGTCCGGCTGACTCTGCACTCCGGGCTCAGGCTCAGGCCTCCTCTCCTGGGATTTTCTCAGATACGGGGCCCTCTCAGTGGGTGCCCTGCGCACCCACTGGTGTTCTATGGTGAGCTCGTGGGTGCCTGTTCTGCAGCAGGCTAGGCAGGCCCTCCTCCTGCGGCACTGGGTTCTCCGTTGGGAGCCACAGCCCACTGGAAGGGAGGACTCCCACAGGGGTTCTGCTCCCCACGGCGTGCCGGCACATGAGAACCGCCGGCTGGAGGTGATGGGGTTGTGCAGGGGCAGGGACCTAGAAGGTACGGTAAGGGTCCAGGAGCACAAGCAGCACCCAGGCCGGGTGCCCTCTCAGAGCAGGAGGGTGGAGAATCAGAGGACGACAGGTCAGGAGCCAGCAGGACAAATGCCAGCCAGTGCCGTGGGGTGCGAGGCTTCCCAGCTGGAGGTGCTGCTCGGTGGCAGCAGGTGGAGAGCCGCGCAAGATCGTCTCACAGTAGAGGTTCTCTGAGGTGGGACGGTGGCCACTGCTGTGCCCCATCCCTGCGGCTCCTGAATGGTACCGTGAAGATCAGCTAGAGTCGGCAATGACACCCACAGCCCTGTTGTCACTGTCCCCTCCATTCTGTTGTGGAAGAGAGGGTCACCCTCTCCTGTGGGCTGTATAACTTCTTGTTTTGCTTTTCCTGTCTGTCAAGTGCTCCGCGTGGCTTCTTCTTCGCCTGTATTGCTCTCTTCCTCAGTGACTGCCACCTGTCACTCTGTCCTACGTCTTCCTCAGCAGGTGGATATTCACGACCTGGGACAGGCTGGCAAAGAGAACAGCGAGGGCGGGTGAAACCAACTTTCCAGTTGCCCTGGGGTCCTCCAGGCGCAGCTTGGCACCTGCTGCCTTGGGCTGTTAAATCCATTTATATTCAAATGGTTGGGTGAGGACGTGATCATTTCATTCCAACATCAGGTCGAAGTTAAACTTAGAATAGGGTTTCTTTTTCTATTATTGAAGAGTCTACTTACTGCCCAGGCTCATCCTTCCTGTGTCTGATCACAGCAAAATATCTACACGGCAGGGATATTTGGGGTTGGCACACATGCAGTTAGACGGAGGTGCTCTTTCCTGGACCAACAGCACCTTCAGTGCATTGTCTATCTGCCCACTTACACCGGGGGGAGGGGCAGACCGTGCTTGCTCAGTACTAGATCCACCCTGCTGCCCTTTTGCATCGTATCCCTGGCCTTTGTAGGAGAATCATTATTTTTAAAAAAAAAAAAAAACATAATTATCCTTCATTTCAGCGCTAGAAGCTTGCTGAGTTTTAGTGGGGCATCTGGCTGCCCAGCTTCCGGCAATATTTCCCAGCCTCCCTTGTGGCTGGGGTGGCCACGTGGAAAAGTCTCCTGCACGGAATGTGAACAATGACGTTCGCAGCATCTGTGACAAGGGCTTGATAGGGAATTGTGGCCTTTGTTTTCTCTTTTGCCTCCTTCCAGCTCCAGTGTGGATACCGGTCAGCCTGCTTTGCTCAGGCAGATGAGGGTCATATCGTAGAAAATGGCAGGACAGTGAGGTCACCCCCACACTGTAGAACTTCTAGGCTGTCGCCGAGGAGAGTGATAGTGCTCCCTGGGAGAGCTTCTCTGTTACAATGGCTTTGTCTACGCCCTGCTACCCAAGGGTGAACGCTTTCTCAGTGCTCCCAGTATGGCAGGAACCATAGAGCATGAATGGGTCTCTGCCCCTTAGTTCTCTGGCAACCTCCTTAAATAGGTACTGCTTGCCCATTTCACAGATTGGAACCTGGCTTAGAGAGTGAGATGCCTTGTCCAAGGGCACCCATGGGAGGAACCCCCCCCCCCAGCTTCCAGGTGTGTCCAAATACACACTCCTAATCCCTGCCTCCAGTGGCTCTGTGTATTCCTGTCCATTGCTGTTCACATTTTTCTACAGAGAACGTTCAAAGTGTTCTTCCCGGCCACCTTGGGGTTGCAGTCTGGACGTCCTCTCTGCTTGTCTCGATTTATCTCCTTTTCTGGACTGTGTTTTGTTCTGAGTAAGACAATCTTGCATTGTTCCTAGATAGTAACTTGCTCAGGGAATGCACAGAAATGCAAAACAATGACAATTAAAAGTCTAAAGGGATAGGAGTTGTCTGGTCTTCCAGAATGACTCAATATTCTCGCCCATGATGCTTTTCTCTTGGGCTTATAAATTCAGTTGTTAATGAATCAGTCCCGATGAAACACCCCTCCCCCATTTTGCATTCATGGTCTTGTTAGGAATGTAAGCAAAGCAAGGAAACTAAAACAGGATCTGAACGGGGAGCAATCATTGCTCATTCTGTTCATCACCCTAAGTGTAAACAGGTAGAATACAAGTTTTACAAGATTGAACTTTCCTCAATGTTAGAGCATTCTGCCAGGTATGAGTTAGGTCAAGTTTGCTGCATAATAAACGGTGATCAAGCTGGGCGTGGTGGCGCAGCCCTGTAATATCAGCACTCGGGAAGCTGAGGCAGGAGGATCATTGCAAGTTCGAGACCAGCCTGGGCTACAAAGTGATCTCAAGGCCAGCCTGAACTTGTCTCAAAAAGAAAACAAAAAAAGAAAAAAAGAAAAGAAACTCCTTAAAACAGCAGTTGCACTTGACAACGTTGTGTTGCTAACATGACAGAATCCCGAAAGTGGGCAGCTGGAGACCAACCTGGTGACCTCTTGGTCACCGAGATCCCAGGCTTTTCCTAACTTTTCCTCCAGCATCTTTGAAATTGGCTTCTACTCTCAGGTTCTCTTAGGATGCAAGTGCCCCACAAGGACAGCCAGCAGGTCTCAGTTGCAGGCAGTACACACGGAGAGAGGAGAGGCTCTGTCTGCCTGCCCCCTTTGAAAGCCCTTTCCAGATCTCACTAATAAACTTCCCCTTCCAACGAATGGTCAGAACGTAACAGTACCTAGTTATGTAGTTGCTCAAATGAAATTAGGATTTTGCTCCAAATTAGGAAAAATAGGAAGTGCTAAGTAATGCTGAGGAGACTGTCTTGCCTTCTAAAGACAAAAGCCCTACCATCCTCGAGGAGTTATTGACACATTACCGCCCGTGGGCCCAATATCTGTACTTTTTTATAAGTACGTTTTGATTGCAACAAGCCATGCACACTCATTCACACCATGTCTGTGGCTGACCTCGTGTGACGCTGGCAGAGCTGAATGGTCACTCCGCGCACTGGCTGGCCCACCGGCCTCCTCTATCTACTCCCCGGTCCTCTAGGGGTGAATTTTGCCAATCCTGTTCTGACCTCAGGAGACAGCTTCCAGTGAGTGGCCTCAGACCCCGTGACTCGTGACAGGGGAGAGCTGAGCTTGACAGGGACTCGGGGACCAACTATCTGCATGGGTTACACGTGTGTCAGGCATGTGCTTGGCTGAGAATAAAATCTGATCAAGGATGGACGGAGCAAAAAGGTGCTTATTTTCAGCACACACGTGGTCCAGGGCCGGTACTGATGCTCAACGATGTCTTTGAACCTGAGCTTGCTTTCTTCCTTACAGTGCCTGGAATGTTCATGCCCAGATCCCAGCTTCCGGTGAAAAATGGCTCAGTCCTGCATCAGTCCGAAGTCCTGCGTCTGCCTTCCATGCAGGAGGGAGACAGAGGTGCAATGGGTCAAAGAAACATGCAACTGTCCCTTTCTAAAAGCCTTTTCACAGGTTATCAGTGGCCAGGACTGTGCTATAACCACTGCTAGTGGCTGAGGATCCTGGAAAGGTGGGATTATGGTCTGGGAGATTCTGCAGGAAATAAGGAAAGGGAGATGGCGGCAGTTGATATCTATAACCCCCGGCTCCTGGAAGCTACCCGGGTCCTTGCAGCCCCTTCCCATGCTCACCCTCCTTCCACCCCTCTCTCCCTCCCCCATCCCCGTCACAGTTTCTGGCATTAATTCCTCTTCTCCGCCCCTCTCTTTCGTGTGTTTGGCTAGGTGAGAAAGCTGGCAGTGAGCCGGAGGAGGTGAAGCTGCAGAATGCCAGCAGGCAGATTGTGCAGACAGCCATCCTACAGGCTGTGCAGCAGGTCTCCAGGGAGAGCCGGCGGGGGGACGACAGAGCCAGTGACAGCCGGGGGCGCTGCCAGCTGGGCGTGCGGGAGCTCCCCAAGAAGCGCGACGTGAAGTAGCAGAGTGGATGCGGCTCTTGCGCTATGCGGTCCCCAGCCTGCCTGTTAGTATAAGACACGCCGCCAAATGTTGCCAGTAGAGGAAACCGAAGTGTCCTGGACACCCAGCTGCAGGATAAGCTCACGCTCGCCCTTGACCGAGAAGCACTGTTTCTCAAAAGTGCATTAGACGATGCTTCTGTTCACAGCCATGCGGTGCCTCAGACGGCGGGGCCGAATGTGACCTCGGCACCGCGAAAGGAGTTTTGCAGCACAATTTTAGAGGTTTTCTTTTAAAAGAGAATTCTAAGTCTTGTTTATTTACCTCGCCTGTTATGTACTCTTTCTGTGAACTCAGCCAGCAGGTTTTGCCTTTCTTTTCTTGTTTTCTGAAATACGGAGTGTAGTTCTGTGTTCTTTATAAATATTTTAAAAAGATGCTGAAGAGGTGAAGAAATGGAGTTTTAGCCCCTTTGAAATATAGAACTGAAGGCTTTTATGAACTGGTCCAGGCCCAATGTCAAATTAAGCAGACAAATTCTAAGACCCAGCTCCCTGATGTCTCCAGCTTATATTTGTATTATTTAGAGCAGTGTGGGCTTTTAATCCTCTCTTTGCAATCTTTTCATCTAGATTCTCTGAGTGATTTCATAGTTCATGTTTACCTTCTGTGCAGAGATCCACTGGGAATAGTATGGATTTCTTTTTTCTGTCTCAAGGTTAAATAAAATAAAGCAAGTGCATGTAGAAGCATGAGTTGCTGACTAGTCATGCAATTCTTCAGCAACCCCATAGAGAACAACTAAAATTCTACAACCCTAAACTGCTGCCTGTCATGGTCCTGGACATACTCACCCTTGGGTCTGACCTTGGCTTGAAACATCCTTGGAAGGAACTCTGGGGCCTTGTAATGTGCTGTGTCATCACTAGGCTCCGGGCCTGTGTTAATACCTTCCTAACAGGAACTTGCCTTTGCCCATGCACAAAATTAGAATTTTTGTTTTGCCATTGTATAAAAATCATACAGGTCAGGAATAATGTGTAAAATGGGGACACCAGTTTTTCAGCTCCCTGAAACATGAAAATCAATGGAAATCATAAAGTGACAGCACTGTGAAGGCATTTACAGAGGTGTGTGTATGCGCAGGAACAGATGGGCACACGTGTGTAAAAGCAAGATGACTTCCTACTCCACTCCAGTCCACAGCTTCCTGGAGTCTTTTAGAATTTCATTTCCTGTGCTTCATGGAAGTTATTGAGTTGGTGCCACTGGGGACAGGAGAATCTAACCTTTGTTATTTACCTGCAGGCTTCAGAGTATCAATATCTGCAGTTAATAGTTCTTTTATTTTTTAAAGCGAAGTAGTGGCATATACAATATGGCCAATATGAGACACATGTCTAAAATTCCAGTGTGTTATGGTTTCCAGAATGGCTATCCTCAGATGAATGAGAAAGACTTCTCATCAACCGTGTTAGACTGTCCTCCACAGTGCACAGAAGGAATAAATGCATTCAGCGGGAAGATGGGTGGAGGAGGAAGCCAAAGGGACCAAAGTCAAACTATTATTTATCCAAACACATTCTTAGCGACCTTGTGACAGCAAGAGGATGAATTTAAGTTGACCTAAAGTCATATAATGGACGGGATATAGTTGCACAGTACACAGTGCAGATGAAGGTGTGTAGGGAAGTTACTCAGGCGTGCCCACCAATTAGAAGGGGAATAAAAAGAGTTAAGACATGCTAAGTACATGCACTTGCTCCTTGAGGTGAATGCAAACTCTGTGTACTGGACACATGTACTAATTAAAAATAAACAAATGTAACAAAGAAACAAACCCAACGCTCATAGCTTGCCAGTGATCTGAGTATAAACAGCCTTGGTTTTGCTGTCAGGTGGCAGAAACCTGTAAACATGCTCTTTCCTTGCTGGTGTGCTGCGTTAGTAAACTGGGGATCCTTGGGAACATCTTATTAATGTCTGTATCTACATATTATTTATAAATAAAATATATCCTGCTTTGAAACATGTTGTTTTAAGTAAGGTTTCTGCAGCCTGCCCCTTGGCTCATTGTGGGTGTGGCTCTTCCAGCGTATGCCACCACAGAGCTTCGCAGAGAGGTCTGGCCTTGGAGCCGTGGATGTCAGGAGCAGGGCAAGGGCTGCTTCTGTGCATTGGCACCATGGCCGTCTGAGGATGCTGCTTCCTGAGGTCTGAATGGAAGTAGACATGTACTAAGCAGTGGCCTTTTGGTATCAGCAAGGACGGTAAGTGGATGTGGAAGCTCAAGTATCTATTAAGATCTTTCAGAGACGCAAAGTCAATAGCAAGGGCCAGAGGTATTGATAATTTCCTGAGAGCATAGGAGGAGGTTAAGCACCCCCAGCACTCAATAGGCAGGTGCCGTATTGACTGAATCCTAAGAAAACACAGTCATAAAAATACAAGCCTCTCGCCACAAAGGTGGAGGTAATGGGCTTCACAAGGGGCCACAGAACTTCGTTTGGCATAGGATGATGGCGGGTGTCTGCTGGGTGTTACCGTCAGCATACAGCTTTTAATATTTGGAATTTGTGGGAATGTTTATTGAGTGTCCTTTCCCTCCCTGATTTGCTGTAAGGAATCATCCAGCTCTGTGAGTTCAGCTGTTCATCTTTTGCTTTGCCTGTCCCTGGGGTAGAATGAAAAGAAACCCTCTTATGGTCCTTGCTTTTCTGTAATCATCTAGCCCGTGCAGGCAGTGTAGTACTGTGAACAAATACAGAACAATTTCCTGACACCTGGGCTTCATTTCTGTTATTTTCCTCAGTTTCTTTAAAAAATAATTAGCTTCTCAGTCTTCCCTTATGGTGAGGTTTCAGGATACAAGGAGATGAATCAGATATTTAGAAGTCATCATCGGACTTATGCCCTTTAGGAAGAAGTACCTGATTGCCTTCAAGGCTATTTTAAAGTCTCCATGAAAGAACGATAGAGAAAAGAGGGGCCTTCTGCTTAATGCACTGTGGAGACATCCTAGTAAGATGCAGCACAGAATGCAATCCCTGACAAAGTGTAGCTCATTTCATATCTGTAGCCTCAGCCAGATACGAAGATCAGACACTTGAGCACCTTCCTCAGTTCATGTGAGGAGAGAGTAGAAATGCAATAATGTCTTGTCTTTCCAGTGCGGGAAAATTTTCTGAAATATTTGAGCACACATTGCCTCATATATTTCATTGCCACAAGCTCACAGTAAGGAGTAGCTGGAGAAAATTGCATTCTTCCTTTTCAGATAAGGTTGTACTGAGTCTCAAAGAAGAGAAATACAACCAACTAGAAAAAAAATGAGTAGCACCAGATACAAGAATGCCAGACCCCAAACTTTGCTAGTGTATCAATCAGCTCAAGAACTGAAGAGTATGAATTTTAGGAATATATATTTTGAGATGGAGTAATAAAGCTGCTTAACTGAATACTTTTCTGCATAAAGAAATTTAAATAGCAAAGTGTCATCACAATTATTCCTCAATAGACAAAATTCAATACCATTAAACTCAAAAAAAGGTAGCTATATTAGTGAGCGCCACATTATTATAGCAAAATATCTGAGGCAATTCTAAAAGAGAGAAGAGTTTTCTGCCAAGACTGGGTGGTTCTGTGGCTTTGGGCCTGTCCTAGTCACATTCCCTTTGCTAGGACAAAATACCTGACACCCACAACTTGGGAGAGGGCTATTTTGGCTCACGGTTTCAGTCCATGGTTGGTTGACTCTAAAGTACAAACAGGATCGCAGAGGGGCAGGCCAGGAAAAGTTGCTCACCTCACGCTGGCTGGGGAGTGGAGAGAGAGGGGAGGAGCCACAGAGGGAGATTTTGCATACAAGTAGAGATTTCAGGATGAGACTTCAGTTTAGATTTCAGGATACAAGTAGATGAATCAGATATTTAAAAGTAATCATCAGATTTATGCCTTTTAGGAATAAGTACCTGGTTGCCTTCAAGGCTACTTTAAAGTCTTCATGAAAGACTGATAGAGAAAGTGACCCCCTCTTCCAGCCAGTGACCCCCCCAGTGACCCCCTCTTCCAGCCAGGCCCACCTCCTAACAGTATACTCAGTTTGGGGCTCATCAGTGGATGAATCCACAGATAAGGATAGTGCTCCATGATCTAATCATCTTCCAAAAGCCCTGCCTCTGAACACAGGAGGTTTTGGGGGACATTCTAGACTGAAACCATAACAAGACCCTGATGAGAGCAGCACAACCCAGCAGGAACACGTGGTGGGACAAACCACTGACATCATGAACCAAGAAGCGCAGCAGGGTCAAGAGACTTGGGTCCCACAAACCCATCCAGGGTGCACTCCCATGACCTGAGACCTTCACAAGGTCACCTGCCAGTAGCATTGCCCTTGGGACCTAGCCTTCAACACAGGTCCTATGGGGGACACTTGTTCCCACCCAAGCAGGGGTTAAGGAAAGGAAGAGCAATGGCCCCAGGGAACACAGCAGAACATCACAGCAGAGCGTGGGAGGTCGTTCAGCTGTGCCCTCAGAAACCATATGGCTGCGGGCACACATTCCTGACCAGGTGTGAGGAAAGAGGAACAAAGCTGGAGGCCAGCTCTTGTCTTCTGGTTGTCGTGTACCAGACATGGGCACCAGGGAGAAGTAGGTGAAGTGAGGAAAGTGACGGCCTTAGCTTACGGAAATGTAAAAGGCAAGGGAGGGAAGGGATATTCATAGGCACACACATGCATACTGCGTACATATACACAGTATTCTAGAAAAATGTGCACACAATGCTTAAAAGCAATATTGCTAGAATAAAGGAAAAAACTTCCAGACTGAAAGCAGGCTATCCCTGAAAGGACATTTCAGGCTGTAGCCTACGTCAGGACCCTAACATAAGGGAGAAGGGTGGTAAAGGAGCTGTGAAGGAAGCAAAGTGGGAAGCAATGATTTTATTCCCAGCCACGATATCACTTTCACAATAAAGGCAAGCGTGTCCTGGTACTTCCTCACACAAAAGAAGCAAGTATAAAAACATCTCAAGGGTTATGAGTACTCAAAAGCCCTTTGTGAGAAAACTGCTTGTCCATGAACTGGAGCCAATTAAAAAGCAAATAAGTACTTTAGGAATCTCTGTTAGTATTGGTAAAAAGCAGGGTCTTTTCTTAAATGTAACATAGATACAACACAATTGTGAAAATTATAACCCAAAAAAGAATGCAGGTTGTTGTATCTTGACAACATGGAAATATAACCAACAAAAATCTGGACATAGGCAAGAGAATGACATCATGCTAATGAATGCATCAGTTAAAGAAAAGAAAAATTATATGACATCCAGCTGAGCAGTCTGATTAATAAACTTCAAGAATGCAGCCTCTTGTTAGAGTTTATAAATCCCTTTCTCAACCTTAGTGGAATATACTAGAAAATAGTACAATAAAGAAAAAGTTATTTACATTTGAGCAAGTTCTTTAGTTTCTGCTTAGTTTCTTTTCCTTTCATTGAATTCAGGAGGACTTGAGTGTATGTGTATTGTTCCCGTGTGCTTTTGTGTAGGAATAATTCCTTGAGGCTGTGTGTAACTCTTTACTTCCTCATTTTTCTGCTCAAGCTGACCAGGAAGATTCTTGTTGCATGTTAAAACCTAAGGTGATTTTCCCACCCCCCCCAAAAGTAATTCTTTTGGCCATTAATCATTGGCCACTGTGGATCCACAGTCTAAGTGTTAAGAGAAGAACAGGATGA